GACTAATATCTTGGAAAGCACTTCATATCAAATGGAATCCAGATTGTCTGACGAATAGGGATGATTGATTGAAGCAGAATTAAGCCTGGTTCGAACTTACGACCTTGTGTTTACAAGGCTAGCGAGGTTGTAGACCATTAGGTCACTAGGACGCGATCCAGTAACCAGGCTATGAATTCTAAATTCTTTCAATTCATGAAATAGCTCGACCACTTCATAATGTCTTCTTTGATAAATTACTGCCTCACATTCAACCTGCTGTACCCTACTGGTCACGGTTTCCCACTAGAACTCCAGGTCACTAACTAACTAACTAACTTACTCACTAACTAACTCACTAACTGACTTACTCACTAACTCACTAAATAACTAACTAACTCACTAACTGACTAACTAACTCAATATCTAACTAAATAACTAACTAACCCACTAACTAACTCACTTACTAACTCACTCACTAACTAACTAACTAACTCACTAACTGACTAACTAACTCAATATCTAACTAACTAACTAACTAACTAACCAACTAACTAACTCACTTACTAACTCACTCACTAACTAACTAACTAACTCACTAACTGACTTACTCACTAACTCACTAACTAACTAACTCACTTACTAACTCACTCACTAACTAACTGACTAACTAACTAACTCACTAACTCACTAACTCATTAACTGACTAACTAACTAACTAACTAACTCACTAACTGACTAACTCATTAACTCACTAACTAACTAACTAACTAAATTTGTCTAACTCTACTCTTTATGTTAGCAATAATGGTGTGATTTTTTCACATGGATGAAATCTCTCTCTCTCTCACTCTCTTGCGTCACCTCATAGCAACTTTGTTTTAGGAAATAAAATGATGATTTTTCACAGTTTCACTCTTCTTTCATACATTTTCCTAACATTTATTATTTCTGTTGATACAATTAAGTATTTCATAATTTTTATCTATTATAATGAATCATAACCACTTAAGTGTACACAAAAATTCTCTTTACTTATGATGGACTTCAACCACAGAGCATGTTTTTTTTTAAACATTAACTGTTGTTTAACGGCATTTCGTTAAAATATAAATGTCGTTTTATCTCCGATGAATATAGAAAAGACAGAGAGAGAATAACTTCATATCAGTATGAATTATCTGGCTAGCGTATTTGTTACTCTGTTCGCAGTGTTCGGTAGGACATATTGACGAAAAGTATATCCTATTCACTTTTTATAGTTTCAGTCAGCCAACCTTGCGTTGTTACTCAGGTAAGTCCTTGTTATATCTGCAAAAATATTAACATAGTAATAACACTTGAATTAGGCATTTAGAAGACAAATTTCGTGAGGTGATATCTGGTCTTTTCGTAGTTTCTTTACAACCGCTTTACAACTAACCCGGTTAACAATAATAAAATAAAATAAAGTTCATGATAATTACTCAGTTAAATAAAAAACACAAGTACATACTCATGACCAACCATATTTAGATAGGTCAAGTAGTCCATGGTAGGCGAAGATTGAAGTCAACTGGTTTTTGTACACAGAGGTTAGGCTGAATGGGATTAACCCCCAAAGTGCTTCTATCACCTCCAATAACCAACCTTGAATTGGAGTTATGCGATGAAATAACTGTGAAACAGTCATTAATACTGATTTTGTGACCTGACATTAATAAATGTTTTGCAATGGATGATGCTGAATTTCTATTCAGACTAACTACACTGGAATTTTCTGTTTTTTAATAACCATTTTGGAACATGTTCATTTCGACAACGTTGGAACATTATGTTGGTTGTACCTAAATAGGTGTCACCGCAGCTGCAGGTGAACGTATATATACAGTTTGAGGGGAGTAGAATCCACAGAATTTTGTCCTTTAATCGTAGGTACAGGGATCGAAAATAATCGGCAAATGAGAAAAAGAGATGCGGCGTAGAATGTACGTTTGATGGCCGACCGAAGTCTTTCAGCTGTCAACTGCATAATCTGGTCGCCCTTGAATAGTAGATTGATAAAGATAGCTTTCTTTGGTACAATAGACTTCAACCTTCGCCTGGCATGAACTACTTGACCTATTTAAACACGACTGGTCATTAGTATGTACTTTTGTTTTTTATTTAACTGAGTAATTGTCATGAGCTTTATTTTAATTTTATTATTGTTAACCATGTTAGTTGTAAAGCGGTTGTAAAGAAACGACGAAGTGATGATATCATCTCGCGAAATTTGTCTTTTAAATGCCTTATTCAAATTTAACACAGTAATAACAATTCAATTAAGAAAAAGGCGTAAACAGCGAAGAAAAGTTTCCCCTCGACGATTCATTTTCATAGGCTGCTGTATAATCGTAATTCTGTTTAACAAAGAATTCATAAGACAACCAATCACATACTGGTAAACATTGTCCTCGGAAAATGTATTAGGTAGTGCAAGGTGTAACCTAGACAGGATGACTAAGTATAAGTTAGACAAGGGCCAGAAGGTGGTATGACGTAATAAGTGTGAGATAATGACTAATCAGTATAGTTGTACAGAATGAATAGGCGGTAAATTGTTTTCACATCAAAACTGTATGAAAAAGCAACGTTAAGTTCACAGACGTATTCTGGAACACTCCCTAGACTGGCTAGCTGGCCAGAGGAGAAAAGAAGAGTAGCAGGATCTCTGTCCTGGAACACCTTGTCATCTTCGGACATCGAGCACCTCCATCTGCATAAATGCTTCACAGTGCTATACACAGTCCCTCAATATCGTACAAAGGGACTTCGAATACGCCATCTGTATATACCTGAAGCATTAGCTATTCGAGGGGATCTGAAACCGAACCTCTGCATACATTCACTCAGCTTATAGTGGCCAAAGTAAAGTTCTTACTATAATCTTGCTTCTTCTTTTTATTATGTAAGTTTACTATTATTATTGTTAGCACTATTTTATTATCATTCTTATTCCTATTACCCATATTTTATTGCCAGTCTATTATTATTTTATTATTGTATCCTTTAGTTCCTAGAGGAACATAGGGCTTCAGCTGCGCACCTCCATTGACTTCGGTTTTCTGACAACTTTTTCACCCTGCTCCAGGTCTGCCCACATGCTTTCATCTCCTCTTCACATGACCTCCTCCAAGTCACCCTTGGACGACCAACTCGCCGCCTCCCTTTCGGGTTCCACTCGAGGGCTTGTCTAGTGATGTCACTTGATGGTTTCCTCAGCGTATGGCCAATCCATCTCCATTTCTTTCTACCTATTTGTTTCACAATCGGTTCCTGATTGGTTCGCCAGTCTATTACTGTTTATTAATAGCACTGCGCTTTCATACAGATTTTATATAAAAACACTCTATCGCCTTTCCACTACTTCTTGTCAGCTCTACATAATTATACTGGTTAGTTATTTTCTCACACTTATTGCGTCATGCCAACTTCTGCCCCTTTTATAATTCTTTAATTAGTTACCCCCTTCTAGATTATACCTTACATTGTGTAATACATTTTCCGAGGACAAATTTTACCAGTATGTGATTGGTCTTATTAATTCTTGGTTAAATATTATTACGACAGTACAGCCTATGGAAATGCTACATTCGCTGTTCACGCCTTTTTCTTCGGACTAATTATAGGAAGAATTTGATTCTCTGACGTAATTTTTCTGAATTGTGTAATGTTTTATTTGTGCAACATATTTCGAACAGTCTGATCACATACACACAGTATATATATATTGGAGGTCAAAGTAACAATGAAGATCACTAAACCTAGTACCCTTTTTGGTATCAAAATAAAGTTTACCAAGGAAAGTGGTTTAGTGTGATGACGAGTTATTGCTTTGAACGCATAAAGGTCATCTCATATCCTAATGATTTCCAAGAAAGTGTTTTGTCTAATCTACTACATTAAGAAACTTAGACTATCTGGAATCACCCAACCTCTACTTTCACAATTTGTCAACTCTCATATCTTATCTATTCTACTTTACTTCTCCGCATTAGTCTTTTTTGGGTTACTGAAAAAGGACTGACCATACCATCTTGAGAAGGATGTTGAAGGTGATCAGTAGGACTACTGGTGTAAACCTCAGTCAGCTCGTCACTACAATAGTAGAAAGGCATCTGAATACATGCGAAAAATGATCTGAAACCGTACTTTTCGACCCACCCACCCCTGCAACACCCCCTCCATTCCCAATTCTCTCCTTGTATCTCATAAGGTTGAACCAGAAATCAGTACAAAATAATATATGCTCGTACAACCAAGTATATGAACTCAATGATAGCATATTTAGCCCGTGTTCTAAGTGACAGAGACAATGTTCAGCGTGAAACCTACGACTTGCTTTGTTGTTAATAACATAATTTTCGGCTTTTTTATTTCTCTCTTGTTTGTATTCGATAGTGAACAACCTTCTTAAACATACTTAGCTACTTAAAATTATTATCATTGGCTTACGTTTTTATTCTTTATTCTATTCCTTCTTTTGTGTATCTACTGGTTCCGATTATATTAACACCATGAATATTACAAAATTATCCTGTCATTAACCTTCATGTGATATTAGTTTTGTGGTTGTTTATTATTTGTTTGGCAATATTAACTGACAATCTTGGTTGTAAATGCCGTTATCACCATCTTAAAAATTTTGTATTATGCAGGATTACTCACACTACCCACTACAAACACCTGCATTAGAGCTGACAATAAAAACCCTGAAATGTTTATTTTATGATTGTTTAGTGTAGTTCAATCAAATTAACTGATCATCTTAGCTATGAACATTCTTAAATATCATTTCATAACTTCTAGTATGATTATAGCTTTTACTGTTAACCACCCATAAACATATCATAGCTTCCACTACCCAATACTGAGATATTATTTATTATTGTTGTTTATTTTACTTACTACTTCTCGGTATTTTTCGCATTTATTATTCTTGTTTTTTTGGTTTTGTTGTTGTTGTTGTCATTATATTTATTTTTTCAAATACTCCTTTTAAATGTTTGATAAAATTAGATGCAATATTGTAGATAAAGTGCTGAAAATTCCACACTGTACCACTAGTACTGTTTCTGGAATAAAGCAAATTATTATTATTATTAAGGTGGTTTAAACTTCCTAATTACCAGCTAGGGCTTCAACAAACTTTCGGATAAACCTCGAATACGCCTAACAGATAGGTTTAAAAGACGTGTAAACATCAGTTTTATGTCCTGTCTCTTTAATATGTTTGGCGATAGAGGAGCTAGGTCGTCGCCTGTTCTTACCACTAATGAGTTCTACGGATTATATCTGCTTCTGAAGCTATTTACGAATATACTGTGAAGCTAGCCCTTACTTGCCAACCAAATATCAGTCAGATCGAAGTCACCGGTTAATATATTGTAAGCCTTTGCTAGACAGCATTAATTTCATTAGGAAGTACTTGGTGAAACCAAGGTTTGTGGTGCTACCTAACCCCGTGAAAAACGTCTACAATCAAGTCTCAGTTTACGCAGAACACTAAGCATCTCCCATTGCCACACTGTGCTATAAACCTCGATTATTTTAAATGAGTAAAGGTTCAATTAACAAAACCATATGATGGCTGGCTAGTTGTTCCATTGATAAAAGTTGGCAATGACACTACCTTGTTCTTTTATTTGTTCTTGGTCATTTCCTTGAAGGATATACACTCACTGTATAACAAAACAATATATTGCATGATATTTTAACTCTCCAGCGATTGCTCTTGTTTGAAACAGTTTAAAATGAATAATCTTCACTTCAACAAGCCATGATCCTTTCCATCAGTGAAAACTAATGAAGAAGAAGAAGAATGACTAAAGTTCATTTAAAAGTAAATATTAATAATTTTGTTTAAATTTTGTATTTCAGGAAAATGTAAATACGGAAAGCTTCTTACCTGGTGTTGACAAACATCCATTTGATACAAATACAAGTAAGGCAGTTTCACGGGTTAACTTACAATTGTATACAAAATGTTTAGCTTGCACCTTGTGTATTGATACTTTATACCTATGGCAAAAGGTTGTCAGCTCAACCGATATGCGAAAATATCTTGACAGTTATGCTAAATTCTTTTGTTCATTTTCAATCATATACAAAGATCAGGTGGGTTATAACTTTTTGATTTAATTTGTGATTTTGTGTGTCCTAAAGGTCATAGGATAGATAAAATTAGTCATCTAACATTCTCTTGCATACTCATTCGATGCATAACTATTTCATTGGTTGGAGAATTTCATCATGAGCTGATATCAATTAGACAACCGTTGGGAAACCAGCTGGGAGTACTGGACAGCCAGCTGTTTCATCAGCCTAGTTTGAGGCTCTTCAGCAGTACGTGCCCACCACAGCAGGTTTGAACCCCCAACATCTTCTGATTACAAGGCAAGCGAATGTGCTAGTAGAACATTAAACCACTGGGACCCCAACGATACAATGGCCAGCTCATAAATTCTAATTTCCTCCAATTCATGACATAGCACGACCACTTCGCAATGTCTTCTTCAATGAGTTACTGCCGGTGGTGAGTATTGATGAAGAGTTTCAAACTAGGGAAGAAAATCACAACTGTTTCATTTAGCCTATACCCAGTTTAAAGTGGTCTACAGAGAGTCATAATTACGAGATCAGCTAAATTTCTTCAATGAATTAAGTAACCGCGGCTGGGCAACACCAACAGCAACAACAACAAACAACAATCAGCCAGCATAAATGGGAAGAACGTGAAAGAAGCAAACTCCTCTACCTACCTGAGAAGAATCGTTTCAACTACAGGCGGACAGAAATGACGAGGATATCAAAGCGAAGATCGTGAAAGCAAGACAGGCTCTCAATGCTCTTAAGTCTGTGTGGACGTCAACAGCACAATTCACCATGAAAAATAAGATCCGGATTTTCAACTCTAATGTGAAGTCAGTGCTACTCACTATACGGATCAGAAACTTGGCATGACATAAATAGCACCTCAAACAAACTACAGACTGTCATCAATAGCTGTCTTCGCTCAATGCTCAACATCAGATGGCCGGCTAGAAAAGATCAGCTACAGGGAGGGATCTCTGGCAATGAGCGGACCAACACAGCAGGAACCAACTGTGCAACGAATAAGCAGGAAGAAATGGAGATAGGTGGATTGGCCATACTCTTAGGAAACCATCAAGTGACATCACTAGACAAGCCATCGCTCGAGTGGAACCCAGAAGGGAAGCGGCGAGTCTGTTGTCCAAGGGTGATTTGCAGGAGGTCATGTGAAGAGGAGATGAAAACATGTGGGCAGACCTAGAGCCAGGTGAAATCTTTGGCAGAGAACGGGACGCAATGGAGACGTGTGCGGGTGAAGCTCTATGTTACTCTAGGAATGAAAGGAAGTCATAATAATTAATTCCACAAAACTACCTAGAGATTGAATAGATTTATTGATTCTCATTAGTTGATGGATTCATGATGGCGTCGAGCTTATCATTTAGCTTACGCCACTATAACTGTTTACTACTCAGGAAATATGATATGATCTAGTCTTTGCTGTAGATAACTAAAGTGACCCTTTTATTTTAAAACTGTTAGTATTTGTAAAGCCTTATGAATCCACGAGGAACATTTAAACTTTTGAAGCATTCTAAATTAACGTTTATCAACACCGCGCTGGTGGTCCGGCGTTCGACCACCGGCCGACGCACTCCTCCTTCACCTTGCTAAGGCACTAATATTACCAGTGAATAGGGATTCTTGGGTATGAGGCTAGCAACCCAGTCCCGTAAAAATAAATACACTTGCAACCAAAACTTCAAGCCTCTTTCCTGAATCCCTATGTCCCACTGGAGCAAGGTAAAGGAATAAAAGATATTTAATAATATTAGTCCCATCGACAATTATACATCTCATCCAACAGTTATACGACAATGCTGCATGCCAAGTAATCCACAACGGGAAACTGACGGAAGCATTCGAAGTGAGGACGGGAGTGAGGCAAGGCTGTCTACTATCACCAATGATCTTCCTGATTGCAATTGATTGGATAATGCGACAGACAACGGCAACCAACGAGGGAACAGGCATAAAATGGACTGACACAAAAGACCTGGAGGATCTGGATTTCGCCGATGATATATGTCTGATTTCCCATAAACTGGAAGATATGCAAGTGAAAAGTAACAAGTTCACAGAAGAAGCATCAAAGATAGGACTCCACGTGAACATAGATAAAACAGAGATGATGAAGATTCCTAGCCAACATCAACAGCAACAACAACAACAGACAACAATCAGCATAAGTGGGAAGAACCTGAAAGAAACAACCTCCTTCACCAACCTGGGAAGCATCGTCTCAACTACAGGCGGAACTGACGAGGACATCAAAGCCAGAATCGGAAAAGCAAGACAAGCTTTCATTACTCTCAAATCTGTGTGGAGGTCAACAGCACTCAACATCAAAAATAAGATCCGTATTTTCAACTCCAATGTCAAGTCAGTGCTACTATACGGATCAGAGACTTGGCGAGTCATAAAGAGCATCTCAAACAAACTTCAGACCTTCATTAACAGCTGTCTCCGCTCAATACTCAAGATCAGATGGCCAGAAAAGATCAGTAACAGGGATCTCTGGCAATGAGCGAACCAATCAGGAACCGATTGTGAAACAAATAGGCAGTAAGAAATGGAGATGGATTGGCTGGCCATACGCTGAGGAAACCATCAAGTGACATCACTAGGCAAGCCCTCGAGTGGAACCCGAAAGGGAGGCGGCGAGTTGGTCGTCCAAGGGTGACTTGGAGGAGATCATACGAGGAGGAGATGAAAGCATGTGGGCAGACCTGGAGCAGGGTGAAAAAGTTGTCAGAAAACCGAAGGCAATGGAGGTGCGCAGCTGAAGCCCTATGTTCCTCTAGGAACTAAAGGATACAATAGTAATAATAATAATATTAGCCAGTTTCAGTACCATCTTATGAAAACATTTGATTAATTTTCAAGTATTGGTTTTGTAGGGATTTTGTTTGATTCTATGGAGCATTTCATGATGAGCTGACGTTAGTTAGAGAACCACTGGAAAGCCAGTTAGGAGTACTGCCAGACGGCTGTTCCCTCCTAGTTTAGAACACTTCATCAGTACGCACCCACCGGGGTTCGAGCCCAGGACCTTCTGGTCACAAGGCAAGCGAACTCGTAGACCATTGAGCCACTAGGACCTAATCCAATGGTTCTTGAATTCTAACTTCCGCCAATTCACTACACAGCACGACCATTTCGCAATGTCTTCTTCGATGAGTTACTGCCTCGTCTTCGACCTGATGAATTCTACTGGTCATGGCTTCCCACTAGAACCCCAGGTTAACTCCCTGAATAGGGCCAGTCGCTAGTGAGCATCAGCTTAATTCTCTAGTATTGGTTTTGTAGGGATTTTGTTTGATTGTATGGAGGATTTCATTATGAGCTGACATTAGTTAGAGAACTGTTATCAGCTCATGATGAAATCCTCCGTACAACATTTGATTAGTCCACACGTTTGATCTTCTTCAATCTTCAGTCGTTAAGAAATTCTGTCACCTTGGATTATTTTTATAATATCATAATTTTATGATGTTTCTTCATAGGTAGTGTTTATCAGTAAGGTGTAGAGCACTTGTTTCGTACCTTTTGGGGGTCATCATCTAAATATGGCAGCATCTCAGTCGGAGATATTTTCAAGCCAATAGCATTTCATACCATTTAAGAATCTTGTATTCTACATTTTCTCACCAAAAATGATGGCAAAGTTTAGGTGCTGTTATAATAGCAGAAGGCAAGACATAGAAGCCAATGTATAATGTCACGTGAGCAACCCACTGTTTATATCTATACAGAACATGAAATAGAATGTTCAAATATACATATACATAGTATTCTGTTACCAGTGCAGTACTGAACTTTGGAAATATATGAGAATAATATTCCGCTGGAACACACATTGTCTTTATCATGCCATAACACTCATTAACCCACCAAATATTTTCTAGTGAAGTCGGTTCGATCTTCTTGGTTGGCTTGTCTTGCTATATGCATTTTTGGAGCTCACTGATGTTCATCAGCTTCTCCTTCCTCTTTGTATGGATTTCTGATCGGATAAACGTGGTCACATCTCGTAGAGACCGTGTGCTGTCTGTCCCACTTTCAAAGCAGTTAGCGTCATCCTAGCTAGCGTGTATTCATCCGCGGTTCGCCCCACACTATCACATATACTGCCTTCGCTCGACCTCTCAGCAAAGTTCCAAGTAACAGCCTCTTCGCTAACGGATCATCTTGAACGCCATCTATCTCCACAACAGCCTAGAAGTCCTGCAAGAAGATTGATTTGTCTCCATTTTCAAAACCCGCAGGTCATAGGCTTTTCTCTCCGACAGTATCTTTACGCTTAACATATGTAAATGATGGCAAATATTATTACTAGGAATTGGGATAGAGACACACGTGTTTTTATATATTCTATATACTAACAATTGCCAAATTAATCTTCTCTTCTCTTATACAGTGCGAAGTAATGGTTGAACAATATTTCGACACTTTTATTCACATAGTAGATCATACGAATTATGTGGATTTGTGCAAGGTAACTTCATTTGGTTACTGATAATTTGTTCAAACTGATGGTATTACCATGGTGAAATTTTATAATGTGGTGTAATCCAAATCAGTGACTCTTATATATGTGGGTAGTATTCATTCGCTTAAATGTCTCTTTCACCAACGACTATCTGATCGTCTTTTCTTACTTCGAAAATCATTTCATCATCTTGAGTTGTGTCTTTTTTGAAATCCCTTAAGAGTGTTATGATGTCTGCTCAACGTGTTTTTAGCAGACTGATGATGAAAACAAAGAGCATAAGATGAGTTGTTCTGGATCCTTACATTCCAAGTTAAATGAAAATTTCATCATGAGCTAACACTGGTTAGAGAACCATTGGAAAACCACCAGGAACTGCTGCCAGACAGCTGACTGTTTCGTCAGCCTAGTCTGCGACTGACGCATCATCATCATCATTACGCACCCATCATAGAGGTTATAATCTAGGGCATTTCACTTGCAAGGAGGGGCTCGTAGACCATTAGGCCACTGAGACCCAGCCGATCCAATGACCAGCCCGTGAGTTCTAACTTCTACCGGTTCTTGACATAGCGCAACAGCTAACTAAGATTATCGGTAGAGAGTATTTGTCCTCACACCCGTAAAATCAGCAGAAGCTAGAATTAATCAGCTGGTCATTGGATTGGGTTCAAGTTGGCTGAATGGCCAACGAGCTCTCCTTGCAAGTAAAATGCCCTAGATTAGAACCTCTGTGGTGGGTGCGTAATGATGATGATGATGAGTTAGTCGCAAACTAGGCTGAAGAAATAGTTGGCTGTCTGGCAGTACTTCCCTGGTGGCACCTAGGTTTTGTGGTAGTTGGCTTTCACCGCTAGTCAGCAAGGCGTATCTGTAACCTCGACGGAAATCATGACCCTTCTCAGATTTGAAACTGTGTCACCCAATGCCGCTTGCAGTGAGGGAAGTTAACACTTATCTCTTCAGGCTCGCGATCGACCTCCTGTAGCACTTTGTTGGATATTTTTACTTGGACACTAGTCAGTAATTAGTGTAATGTGTCTAGTTCTCTGTACGGTGCAGACTAAATTTTAAGAGTGGTAATGTCTCTAACTGACAGGGACATGAGATCCTCCCTTTTTGAGGCTGCAGATACGTGCTACTGATGAATGCCAACTAGCAAGAAACCTAGGTCCCAGCAAGGCCTCCTTCGGCCGATCGCCCCCAACCATCTAATATCGAGGAAGCAAAGATTGGATCATGAACTTTGTATTATAACTTTGTATTATACTATAAAATATAAAGCATGAATCTCCAGTCAATATGTATAAATGAAGCTTTGTCCATTTACAATCAACTATCGTGTGTAACAGTATAATAATTCTACCTAATTCTCTCTAAAATAAACTCAAAAACTTATTAAGTAATAATAATAACAATTCAGTGACCGAATCAATCTACTTTTTTATATTTTACAGGCAACACCACTATGCAAGGCATGAAGAAATAAAGTACGATAATATGATTTTACTAAAATGTTTTACCATTGTTCACCTCTTTGTCATAAAATAAATCTAATCGTATTTTCTGTCCGTTAAATTTGTTTTACTACATATATAATCCTCTACTGATATAAGATGGCTGTAGGAAATGATCGAGAAGCCATGAAACTGGCTTTTGTGATCATTAGTGCTCGTCAGTGAGGCGTATTTGTAAACACAGAAGGTACTGATGTCCCTTCAGAGATGAGAATCTATGAACTTAATGATGTGTGCAAACAGTCCAGTGGAAAGTTGACGTATAATTCGTTCTGAAAGAAAACTTGGACTCTTCCACAACTTGTCCTTGTGTCTAAGTAGCAAACCCGCCAAAAAAACACTTGAATGAAAAACTTGAATACTCGACATTGCCATGGAACGCCTAGAAGACGGTAGTCTTCAGAAGTCGATTTATCGAAAGCCCACATGAAAAGCTCAATACTTACATTTTAACAGCTTTTGTCTAAATAGCTTTAAACACGGACTAGTCTAGACTCTGTACTAAAGAGTGAGGAGAATATGCTCTATAGAGAAATTAGAGGGAGATTTCGTGTTTCTTGAAAAGATGTTGAAGAGCAATGGGTAGCCTCAAAGGTTCATCAACAAGTATGGAAGATCTTATGTTAACTCTAACGGTTTATACAAATTTACACGTATCTAAAGGAGCAATTACTTTGGAAGGACAGAAAGACGAAGCGCATATCTACGATTTTCTGAACATGTAGCAAAAAGCTTACGTCTAAAGGAAACAAATGCTTTAAACAGTGCCATCGCTAGGCATCTCCTTGACACGGGTCATGAGGTGGACGTCGAAAAGTCGTTCAAAATTATCATCAGGCAAAAGAGCTCAGGGAAGAAACTCTTTTCAGCGAGTTCATTATCGCGCTGTACAATCTTAATTAAATATATGCTTTCTGAGAAATGATATATTTAGAGCCAGCTTCCCACTGGTCAGAAATAAAACTTGGTCCGGTCACTTGTTACTAGCAATCAGAGCATATGTAGTCTTAATACCGTCAAGTAAAATTTAAATCTTGGGAGAAAAATACTCATAGAAAATGGATTTCCGCCACGTTTCATAAGGTAAGAATATACAGTCAAAACCTATGGAATATGAGTTATCACCCGTAACCAACAAAATACTGTACATGAGCTTGGAATTCAAAGGTCACTTAGCTTCCGATATCATGAAAACAGAAGGATCTCACAGACCCTGGAAAGAACATTCCCTGCTGCATCTTTGAGAATAATGTCTACCAGTCGACCATTGTGCATTGGTGGCACAGAGGTGGGATGCTCGCCGAGCATGCACACTGTCCAGAGTTCAATCCCCGGCCACCGACACACTCCTTTACCTCACTAAGCCAGAAATAAAAAAGCTGGTAAAGAGGAAATGCTGGGCTTGAACTCAGAAGTAACTCCATCCTGTGAAAATAATCACCACTGCTACAGAAACTTCAAGCCTCTAGCATTAAGCCTTATGTTCCACTGGGAACGTGAAGAAATACAAAATAAAAAGTCTACAAGTACTCTTCAATATTGTGAAGGACAAGATTGCACAGCTGACCAACTCTATGTGAGTTTATCAATCCACCTGCAAGTGCGGAACCAAGTATATCAGTCGTTCAACTTGGATTTTGTCCAAGAGGGTTTAAGAATACTATCCTGCATGGTTACGAAGAGTTGAAAGTGGAGCCATAAGAAGCGCGATCATTGAACATCTAGTCAATAACAATAATAATCACACTATATCTACAGCCTACACCTTTAAAGTTATCTACAAGGCGAAAAGTAATCTGCCCAAATCACTGTGTATTCGATACTCAACTGCATTGCTGAAGCCATCCTTGGTCATCGAAATAGAGAAGCCAGATCTCTGCTTACAGAGAAATTTGAGTCAAACCCTCCAGCCTTCACGATTTTAATCCCTCTATGCTAAAGCATGATAATCCCCATTTCATAATTTGGCTCTCCTTACTCTCCGTTTTGTTCATTCAGTTTGTATACACCTCCTTTATTAGGCCACTTGTTACTATTATTATTCTCACTTCAAATTGTCTCCGGTATTATTTCACTTGTTCCACTTGTAATTCTAAATCAATTCTGTTTTGTAACGGTAAATTCTATGTTATCAAACCTCACACAGTGTTACGTAACGTTTTATTATATTTTATTCGAGTTGTCAACTAATCCTATAATTGTACACCCTATCCAACATCTATACATCTTATAAATTGTTTTGTATATGACATTAATTGTTCTCCCACCTGACGTTTAACTACAATTATAATCACAAATATTTTCATTGCAATTCATACTACTACTATTATTATCACTTTATGTATTCACATCTTTGATTCAATTCCCTCAATGGATATAATTTCTTAAAAAACCATGTTTATATACGATTACACAGCTTGATAATAAATTCGTTGTTGAAAAGAGTCTCTTCACTGAATCGTTTAGTCTGATTTTCTATATGTTACAATGGGAATTTTCCATGAGTTCTTATAATATCGAAACGAACTGAAAGTATCTACCAATGATCTTATAGATGTCGTTTAGAACAGTGGTGACTTGTGATTCAGCAGGCGAGTTTTATGCTAACCACAAAAATATGATAAAACATTTTACGAATTAGTACGTACTTCCTACGAAGTTCAGTGCGTGTCTTTCTGTCAGTGGAAATTATTATGAGTCATTCTTTCCTCACCATTTGTCAGGAAAGGTAGTGTGATCCATCGTGTATTACAGTTTGTGAAAGTACTAGTCACTTAATTCTTTGTTGTACTAAAATGACTGGCAAATCACACTTATAACCAAGGAAGAAGAAATTGGAAGTCATGTTGATCTTTCACTTCATCTCACACAGTCAGTTATTCCCTTGATTAATTTGAAGAAGGGAAAGAATGAACACATTTGCAGATAGGATAATAGGATATGGCTGGTTTCATTTCGTGGATTGTCTCTCTGCTACTGAGTACATCTCAAATAAATCAATTATAAGTTACTCAATAGTGTTTGAATATACCTTTTACAATGACCTTGAGTTATAGACAGAAAGTATAGTCAACATAATTTCACTGATGATGCATGTAGACAATTATTTAGTGTTAAAAGGGAGTAACTATTTATACAGCAATTAGACAAGGGGGTGGGGTAGAGTTCGGATTTCGCTTGGAAACAAGAATGGACTAAAGACAAAAAAACGAAATAAAACAAACAAGTGAATTTATTATGATAGAGAGTTCAAGAGGGTGGCTTTGGGGTGACTAGTAATAATAATAACAGCTCTATTCCAAACAGTATTTGTGGTACAGGTATGGAATTTTCAGCGTGTATTACAATATATTCCATCTAATTACCTCATCAATTTTATAAGATTTTAAAATCAAAAAGCAACACCCAAAAAAAGATAAATAAAAAATAAATAAATAAAAAGAACAGCGTTGCGTTTACATTTTAAACAATGCACTACAGATTATGAAAATATAAAATTAGTGTGTAATAAAAGATGTGAACAACAATATTATGGTAACGAAGAAAGGAAAACAAAAACTAATGGGACTATTTGTTAGAGTGCCGCTGTAAGTTGATTATGTCATACCTAACAGATTTCTCATCACATAACAGCTGTGCCAGATATGGTATTGTGGAGTTTTTGTACTTGGTAGTCCTAGCATATAGCCAGCCTCCTATAGCTGCTTCTAGTTCTACCAGATGAAATGTAAGGAGACAGTTGCGTATAGAGAGGATGCTCGAGGTCCGACAATATAGTTTTCGCTAGTTTCTTACATGACATTATATGTCTATGCACAATAGTGTTAACCAGTTAGTTTAACGATATCCCATTTACCCTACTAACCGCTTTTAGTGCCCTTCTCAGCAAAGTAAAGTCCTTCTTAAGTAGCCCAGTAAAATGTGTAATGGGGAGCAGTAAAGGGGGATGGTTAGAATACAAAAATTAACAAAGTGAGAAAGCAAAGACCGCTTTATACCAGACTGCCTTAACTTCCTAACGTAGAACGTTAAGCGAAACATCTTTCTAGTAACTAGCTAGATGTGGAAGGACCAGGAAAGATCGGTGGAAAAACTCAGCCCAAGGTACTTGACATTAGATGTATTTTCAACCTCTATGCCGTCAATGATAGTGGGGCCATGTGAGCTAACTAGTTGTTGTGGGTCACGTTTACGTCTGAAAGTGAAATTGACTACCTGACATTTAGACGGATTTAGCTTAAGACCGTTTGAAGAGAACCACTGACTAATTTCCGATAGAAAGTGAAGTAAAATTATAAAATAGACAGAATAATTTAATTTAGTAAATTTGGAAACTTAATAGTGAGTTTAACTCGTTGAGTGAAAATCAAGAGTGATATGTTATGTATGCAACAGAACAAGGCACAAAAGCACACGAACAAAACAATTATGGTTATCAAAGTAGTGAAAGATTAGTTACACTCTCTCTCAGTATGTATAAGTTAGGCTGAAGTCTTTGGATAACAGTAGCTTCTGTGAACCGAAGTAACCATGATTTACTATGTGTACTGATTATTTTCACAACCCCACCGATTTTCTCTGTATGTCCCCTGTGTCAGTCAATTTGGTGTCAGACAATTCTACTTGAGAACACTCTGCTGCCTTTCATGGGGGGAAAACTTTTAAGGATATACTCGGAAAATCTAGCATACGCTGTCTTCTCAATCCTTACTATGCATCTGCTGCCACGAGGACAAGTGAATTGGTAAATGAATTTGGAGTTGACATGCAGAGCAGGATACTTATCCACTTTTGACTGTATTGTGAAGTGGAATGAGTCTGGCTGCAGCAATATGTTCTTTTCAATGCACCAATAATTTCTGTTTTCCGTTCTTATGGATACTACTTCGCCTTTGTAGACTACGTACATGAATGCAGGTTTCTTTTCAACTATTTCAAGTTTTAGTCTAAGTGGTTTTCGCTTCCCATATTTTGGTATAAACTCTCGAGGGTATCCATTTTCGATTACGTCCTTTTCGACGATCCGGCAAAAGCTGTGATAATTCAAGTAATGGCTAGTCCTACAGATGGATTTTTCAATTCTTCCATCACTTATTCTTC